AACATAGCATTAAGTGGACATATGACAAAGCAATAATATCAGAAGCATTGCAAATAAATATTTGACTATAATGGCTCGTCTACAGAATTGATGACGAAGAAGAAGGGACATGAAAATGTTCAATATATAGAACTGATTGGCAACGTAAGACATGTAATTAGTTGCTTGATGAAATATTGAACGACAGGCAATTCTCCAAATTCACTATTCACTTCTGGAGATTCTAAAATTATTCTGAAGAAGCAGTGTGATCAAGCTTAATAACGAGGAGCTATAAAAACTGGAAGGTTTTCAAAATTTCTCCAAATTTTTGAGATTTCAGATTTACTGTACTTTCAGATTTACTGTATTTACTTATTGAATAATCGGGGTCTGAACACAGAGAATCAAGACCGCTTGAACTGAACTTATTTGATACATGATTGTAATCAATGTTCCCAAGCAATTTTCAACTGATTGAAGTAATTCAGAATGAGGACAGAATTATAAAATCATAATATCCAAAGTAAAATAAAGGTCACCAGCTCCATTTCATTAAAACTGGAACCTTTTCGTTAGATCTGAAAATGGAAGGCATAATTCCGTAGCCATTTATTCAAACGCTGTAAGTCAAAGCACTTCTGTCTTCTTCAAATTTGCAAATAAACCAACAAATACACAAAAATTTATTCAAGAAAATTATACAAGTTAAGCCAAAATATGTACAGTGAGCAGATTTGGCTCTTAGATAATCATTCCAAACCCTGGCCTAAGGCCTATACAGCCTTGCTCTTGCTACGAGCGGCTAGAGAATTCCAAAACTTTACTGAATCGGTTTGATAGCTTCGGATGTGTCTCCAGTCCTTTCGTCAACTTTATTCACTTTATTGATCTGCTCCCTCTGCAATGATCAACTTGTGTAAATGCTCATAAAATATAGTCGAAAATCTTACGTGTTTTCTTTCTTCTTCATCAGCATTTGTGTCCTCAATCTCGTCCTGTCGTTTCTGGAATCGCAAAATCACTCAAGGGACCATTAAGTTTGTTAATTTACCTCGATATATTTCTCGGGTCCTGCAGCAGAGTCAGACGGATGGGATTGGGATTTATCAGAATGGGATTGCTGGCTGACCTAAATTTTAAAGTCGTCAGAATGAAGCTATTGGTAATTACAGAGATTTCTCGTAAATTCAATATCTATATTTGATGAGAACATTCTAGATAATTACTGAGTTTTTCATGCGAAAGCTTTTTTAGATCTTTGAAGCATTTCTATAGTCAGAGATCCAAAAAACGTACTCATAAATCCATGAAACTTATTCAAGCAGCTTATGAGAACTTTGCGACAGCTCAAATAAAAGCAATTTTGAATTTTTTTCCAACTTTCTTAACACTAGATTCTCAGCAGTCTGGTGATTTTTTTATTTTCTTTGGAAAACTACTTCAAAAAACTGTAATATCACAACATTTTCTACGAAAACGCAGCGAGGGAAAAATTTATCGCGATCCATTTTTCCCAAGAATAAGCAGCGTAACTATGAAAAATAACTGACATCATCTTTGCCATATTCAGAAACTCCTCTGACTCCTCCTCCTTCTTGACATCCTCCATCTGTATCTATGTCCTGGAAACATAAGGCTTTATAATTTTTTTAAAGAGAGGGATAATTGTGCTTAAAATACCAACCTTATGTTCGTAACCTTTCTGCATTTTATCCTTTATAGTTTGGTTTGTCTGTCTGTACTTTTCATTAGCATCGTTGATCACTTTTTGAGCTTTATTTTCCTCATAGCCAATGGTCCCAGCCGGGGTAGGGTTGGAGTGGACGCAGCGCCTTTCAAGGCAATTCAACAATCTTCTGCCACCTTGTGCCAAAACGAA